AGTTTCTGTTTAAGTTTGGGGATATTTGTATAAAACAGTCATACTTTGAACAATCACGCTGCCATAACTGAGCAGCACTCCTCTGTCAGATTTCCTGGCACCCTCATCTGCTCTGGGTTCTTTAAAGCAGCTTCCATCAAAAATAGCAGAACAGAGCACCCCGACACTTCTGGGAAGAAGTGAAATGCTGAGGCGTGTCTGGAAGAGTCCAGCTCAGGTGTCTGGGCGAGGATGCACCTGCGCTTGTCGAATTCAGGGTCAAGTAGTTTAAGCTAACTTAAGAGCAGCGGCGAGCACCCGAGGACAGGAGTGACATTTACAGGGTTCCTGCCAGAAGGACAAACAGTGAGTTTAGGAGCTACAGAGGCGAGTGCAGTGCCTCGCTCTGCTGGATCGGCGTTAGTAACAGACTGATAACTGATAACACACCTTATCTCAGGGAAACCTGGAGCAGTTCACATTGACCGTACCTCTTGTGTGTGAGTGGGAACTCTCACAAGTACGTTTATTTTTTCCAAACTGCACGTGTTTTATTTGATTTTTTTAAAAATTGGACGTAAAAACTGTATTTTATTTGTGTATGTTCAATGTGTTAGACTTGTACATAGTTAACCATATATGATCAAATAATGTTGAATCCTGGATATGGATTTGTAAGCAATGAAATTTGAAATAAGGGGGTAGGAACAAGAAAAGTGTAAACTTCATCCTACTCCTTTTCGAGCACGCATTCTGTAGACAAAGATATATACATGAAAACTTGATGATTTTTAAGTTTTGTTTTTTGGTTTTTTCTGTTGTTATTTCAATTATATTTGCATGTTCGAAATAAAATTATATCTATCTAAACAAATGTTAAAGCTATTTTCCTTCAGTCGTTCTGTTTCACTGTCGCCTCGTCTAACAGAAAAGTGAAAGTATCCAGTTCCTCTCTGTCTTTAGTCTATTATATCAAAGTACTTATAGTTTACAGTCAAACAGGAAACCCACTGGTTCCTATATTTACAGTGCCTGACTGGTTTGCACCCCACCAAGCTTTCCTCACTTTGCATGTCAAATAAGGGCGGCTGGTTCATGTCTACACAAAACATTATTGTTGCTACAATCTCTTTCTTAACTAACATAATTGAATCTGTTAGTATCTCTATATGAGGTCTTGCTAGTGGTTAATATCACAGTATTAATCTCCCAACTTCAAAGTGTGTTACAGCAAGTTCCTGAGTTACAGACAGTCATAAATTCTTTGTAAAAAGTTCGTTTTTACTGAACAGGAGGCGAGTCTGATTTCTGAATGAGTCTAAAAATAACGCGTGAGGTTGCCCCTGATGTTAGCGCTTATTCAAATAGCCCTGATTTGCTCGGTGTTCCCGTCACGACCAAACATCAGAGAGCTGCTCCGTTTCTGAGGCGCGAGTGAGAAAATATTCGGTTCCTTTTCTTATCCTAAATCGATTTAGGCCCTCGGTTAAAAGCTTTTGTTGCACAGATTTTATCGCTGTGATGGTTCAGTGAGCTAATGAAAGTGTTTATTGATGAGTCGAACCAAGCAGCAAACACTGAGAAATGATGCAATACGGAAAAACTGCAGTTCCTCTAATGGCCACTTGATTTCAGCTTACACTCCCAAGTAAATATGACCGACTTTACAGCATGAAAGAGCACAACTATACAGGGAAGTTTTTATTTAAGCATAAAGTTTGCATCTTTAGGGGAATGGCTGCTTTGACTGACAAATTGATGCAATTGGATGAAGCTGCAATAATCAGGCAAAT